AGGGCATGTAGTAGTAATCTGCAAGATAGAGGAGGGTTGATGCCTTTTGAGGCAGATGGTGACAGTCTCTTTGTGGTTCTTTAATGGATATTTGTAGATTTATCACGCGAACACATATAACTACAATTTTTTATGGCAGCCATATTTTTTAGGCGCGCTTTTCAAATTAATTGTTATACATTTTTCAGGAAAAAATAAAATAATAATAATACGTGACTGAGTTCCCTCTCTTAAAGCACCGGTTAGTCAAATCAGTGTGATGAATGGTAATGAAAGCAAAAGAAGAGATCAAGTGGCGTTTGTCTGCCTGTGAAAGGATCCGCGAATCAATTCAAACATGTCCCGTCATTTAGACACTAATCCTTCGTATTCCAACTAGTCAACTTTGCGCACTTAGCCGCTTATGGAAATCGTCTAGATGAAAACGACCCGCTGCTGATATTAAAAGCAAAAGCTGTATACTTTTTTCTTTTCATGAAATTAGACTCATCAGTTCAGTAGTGGTGATCTGATGATCCATCTTCAACTTGAAAAATGTGCTGATGCTCGTCCGTAGTAGGCCTAGACCATGCTCCTGCTTCTCCTTCTATCCCATGTTGCTTGTGGTTTACACCTTCACCCTGGGGAGACATTTCGCCTTTGCTTTTGGAACCGCTAACGCGTATATGAATATGATGCTTGCAATTGTTGGAGACAGATTTCACATCCTTTTGCAAGTTGCCATTTTGACAAGGATTTGGAATGTGACTCTCTCCCTCCCCAGTTATCCATCACCGCTCTCCAGTTTTAGTAGTCTAGTCTGATGGATGGGGTAATCATATGCTTTTGTGCAGTGGCTGATGATTAATTAACTAGTAAATCTTTTGTTTTGTTACCCCATTTCCTCTATCGAACGTCCATCCATCTCATAAACTGAAGCGTGAGACAGATTTCTGGGGGGGTTTCAAGTTGAAAACCAAATTAGATTTTTTTTTTTTTTACTCCAGAAGAAAAATGTCGGGGAGATCACAAGCAAGAAGACAAATAAAAGATGAGTGAATTTTCAGTCTCTGTGAACCATTCCACCACCGCTTTCGTTCCGTTCTACTGTTGATAAAAGCTCTGCATTCCACAACCACCGGATCATAGGTAGGTGGCCCAAAACTGAACAGATTAGACCGCCTAAAGGAGTCCACTATAGTTTTATTGTCTGGTAATGTAATCTAACTGAGACCGAGCTAGAGGAATACGGAAAATGGGCCTAAACCAGATAGCTTCTCACAAAATAGGCATTGGAATAAACTGCAAAGAAAGAACTTACCAGATTGCTGCAGAACTTTTGTCTTTGAATTGCTGAACAAAGATTTCCACTTCACCGTTGCCTAATTTTTGGCCGATCTTCAGTTATTTTTCGGTATCATTCCTTTAATTTGACCCTTGAATTACTTACAACAATTGCAATCATTTCAAATGTAAACCATTACTGCAGTTGAATGATTTGGCAATCAGTGGTTGGATTTCACATTAAATCCAACGGCAATATGCTTTAAATGTTTAGCATTGTCAACTTCTTTTCTTTCTTGATGAATTTGTCTACAAAGTGGCATCAATAATGTCTTTCAACTTGATACCGCAGGCGGCCCAGTCCAGAAAAGAGGAATTTCGTGCTTTCTTCCCTGCTGGACTGGACCCAAAGCAAACCCTTCAAGTGATCCACGACGCCAATACCGGAGAAAAGATTGGTGAATAGTGCTCAACCTGCAATAGACCTCTCGAACTTCGGCAGTGCCCAAATTGCATCAAGGGATAATTTCAGATACCTCCACTGACAATTTCGCTAGTCTCTTCTAAAGTTTATAAAATTACACAAACCTCCCTTAAGGTGAAGGTTTGATAACAAAGTCAGTCTGATTAAAAAAAGTAACATTAAAAGGAGAGAGATGAAACTTTTATTCTATAAATACCCCTTATGCATGTACATAAATCGTATTGTTAAAAGAATAAAAAAGAATTAAAAACTATAAACAATTAATACATACATTTAACCATTCAAAAATTCACATTTAATAATTTTGACAACATAAATAAGCAACAAAACAACACTAATAATTATAAGATTCAACAAAACAAACTAATCATCTCTTTTAACATGATGTTTGCTATGATTCTCCTGATTTTGAACAAAAAAAATTTCAAATTTTGTCTTTCTTTTCAATTTTATTTGAAACTCTTAAAATTATAATAATTGTAAAGTAATTTCATTGAAATAAAGGATACAATTGTAAAATAATTTCATGTAAAAAAGGGAGAGAGGAGGGAAAATAAAGGCAAATTTTAAAAAAAAATTCTATTTAAAATTACAAGAATCATAATAAAACATAATGTTAAAAGATATGACTAGTCTGTTTTACTGAATCTTGTAACTATTAGTGTAGTTTTCTTGCTTATCTATGTTGTTTAATTTACTAAATATAAACTTTTTGAGTGGTTAAATATGCGTATTTATTGTTTCTAAACTTTTAATTATTTTTATTCTTTTACTAATACTACTTATATACATACATAAGGGTAGTTATGGGATAAAAGTTTCATCTTTCTCCTTAAAGTATTTTTTCAATATTACTTTTTTTTAATTGGACTAACTTTGTTATCAAAATCTTAATTTTAAGGGAGGTTCGTGTAATTTTATAAATTTTAGAAGAGGCGAGTGAAATTGTTAGAAACCTATGAGCGGTTTCCGAAATTATCCCTTGCATCAATGTAACCTGGGGGGAAAAATTGAAGGCGGAATCATAACGAACGAATATCCTGGAATTTTTACTTTTTCTTTCCTTGGGATGCTGAAAATTGTCAAGTTGCTCTAATCATCTACCGGTGCAAAATGTAACTGCATACGTGACTGTGTCTATGGTTTTACGAATGTACCACGCATTTCCCTTTCTTTTATAGTCTATCATTCACACATACATGTTGATTCCTTCAAATTCCATTTGATAAAGTTGGTTGCACCTTTGGCACTTGTTTTCGCTTGCAAAACATCTGACAGAAAACTAATTACAATAAGTGATTTGCCGAGAAAAATTAAAATCACCTAAAACTATTTTTTGGTAGATTTTAAATTTCAAAATTTTTTGTTATTAAAAAATATATAATCTAGATGCAATAACAAATGAAAACATTAATATGAAAGAAATGGTTCCAGTTATTATTATTATTGTTATTTAGGGAAGTGCCAATAGAGGTGTTGAAAAGTTTCGATTTTCCGATCGAATTCGATTTGAATTCATAAATTGGAAATCGAAAATTTGAAAAATGGAAAGGAATTCAGAGTTTTTTTGTATTTGAAAGTGGCAAAATTGGTTCGAATTTGGGGCCATGCTCCTTAAAAGCAGAAATTTCGATTTTGAATTCACAAATTGAGATCGAAATTCTGCTACCTAATTCAATTTAAATTTCGTATATATACTAATATATTTAAGCCATTATATTATATAATGATAATAGTTTAATACCTCAAATTGACAAATTTAGGTCATTATAACATATGTAAGTTAGTACAATACCTCTAACAGACTAATTTAGGTTTTTCTTTTCAATAAAGTTCATACCAATTTTTAAAATATGAATTCGATATTCTACTGAATTTTGGAATTGAATTCAAAACTTTTGAATTTGAAAACGAAATGGTTCAAAATTTATCAGATTTAATTTACCGAATTTTTTTGAATTCAAACTTTCGAATTATCAATTTCGAATTCAATGCACAACCTTTAGTGCAGTAAAGAATTAAAAACAAGAAAATTAATATGAAAAAGGAGAAAAAAAGATAAAGGGTAAATATTTGACCTCAGCTACTCAGGATTAAATTATCCGCTGTATGGTGTTGTAATAGTAGGACGGCTTAATTTGTTAAAATCAGTTGACGACAGGCGCTTGATTTCAGCTGAAGCGTTATCATACCGGATGATTCTTAACATTCAGACCGTAGTTATTAAACCCGGTCCGGAGAGGAACTCGGTGAAAGAGGTGGGTCAATGGATTACTGGTTCAACCAATGGGTGAGTGGTCCAACCAGTGGGTCACTATGTATATTTAAATATTATATTTTATAATTTTTTATATAGTTAAAACTATAATAAACTATGTTATAGTAAATACTCAATTAGTCCAATTTATTATAGAATCATTAATTCTTATAAGAATTAACAAAACTTAAATTTAATTAGTAATGTACCAAACTTCAAATATAAAATTTTATCTAAGTGTAATTATCTAGTTTATTTACGAATTTTAGTGCAAAAGGTTATTAAGAATAATATTTTTTTAAAAAAATGAATTGTGTAATATGTTATTTTTTAAATCCATTTCATAATTTATAGAATTTAGGGAATAATAAAATTTTATTAAAAGATTCCAAACAAATTTTGTTTTGAAGAAATAAAATAAGAATAAAAATCTAATATATAATATAGAAGAAGTAAACAATCACCAAGTGAGCGGTTGGGCTAGTGGTGAGTGCGCTCAACCTTTATATTTGAGGTCTAAAGGTCTAAGGTTCGAATCAGCATTGGAATATTTTCTAATAAATTTTATCCAAAAACAGGGTTTCTTACAAAACCGTCCGGTTCAACCGCGTTGAAAAGTCAACGAATTTCTTGTACAAATGGTCCAATTACAAATTTAGTCCGATTCACCGGGTTGATTGGTTGAACCGCCGGGTCGGACCGGGTTTAATAACTATGATTCAGACCTACCCTGTTACTGTTAGGCTCCTCTGATAACCAACTAAAAAAAGGATTCACCAAATTTGATCTTGCCACGTCACGCTCCAAACCCGACGCCCTCGCGTCGCCACCGCGCTATCGACCACCGACTGCAGTATCCCATTCATTTAACCGACGCGTGTCTTGGACTCCACCGCCTATAGCCGGTTCAGTAGAGTTGTCCACCGCTGAAGCCGGTCACCTCCCTTTGCAATTCCCGCTAGGTATATAAACCTGATCCAAAACCCCCGTTTGCTTGCCTTTTTTTGGTTCCTCTTTCCGATTATTGAATCATCCATTTCCAACAACAAAAATCTCTCTCTCTCTCTCTCTCTCCTCTTTCTTTCTATCCAGGTTCGCAGTTCTTCATCTTTTTCCAGACCTATATATTTATTTTTAAGATCTTTTTCTTTTCCGGTATTCTTTTTTTTGGTTAAATCTACTGAGCTAATTTGAACTGTAAAGTTTGGGTTTCTATTACTTACTTTTCTTGTTGCAACGTTGTATTTTTTCCCCTTTTCTGAATGTTTTCGATCTTTGATTAAAGTTGCAATATGGGTTGTGATTCATGTTGAGATTACATTAAATTTTGACTATCTTCTGTGGTTTATGACTTAGCTTAGTAGTTTTTTGGGAGTAATCTTAAGTTTGAGGGGTTTTTGATTTGTTGGAGCTCTTAATCTTAAATTTTCTTTATTGATGTGTTTAACTTAAGTGAGTGAGTTAGTTGGTTGAGCAATTGCTTATCGTACAATCTTGATTGGAAGAGTACTGGCCTTGGGGTTTTTAAGATGCTGTTCTTCTTGGTTGTCTTATTCATGATTAGGGTTTTGTGGGTACAATTGGGGATTCTTTAAGTTCAAGTAAATCCCAAGATATGAGCTCAAGTAAGGCTATGGTTTCTCAAATACGAGTACTTGTGAATTTTACCGTGCGGTGGTGTCAAGTGATTTAGGCTAGTTTTTGAATTTTAGCTTATCTTTTACTTGCTTTGATGCTGATGTTTTATTGGTTTCTTTTTCTGTGCTTCTCTGTAGAACCCAGTCTAAATCTTTCCACAGGCGAGTAGGGTTGCATGATATTAGTGTAGATCTACCAATTTTTTGGACGTTTGTTAGTTCTGCGGCTGTAATTGACAAGTTGTAGATGCTGCAAGCTGTTGGTGAGGATTGATTGTAGTTGTACTTTTAGGGGATTCTTGTTTAGGGCTTTTTGCGAGATAAGTTCAGAGATCCCTCAAGCTGGGTGCGAGTGCATTGTTTTTCTTTTTAGAGCGCTAGTACTGCAGAAGGGCTGGCACTAGACAGCTATCTGGATCCCAGCCACCGTGCTTCGGTGCCTCCCATGGCACCTAACAGGGTGGCTGGTGGACTGGCACATTCCTCTTCCAGTTCTGGCATCTTTTTTCCTGGAGATGGTCAGTCCCAAGTTGTGGGTAATTCTAACTTGAGTTCGTCTTTTGGGAACTCATCGAGTACAATCCCGGGAAGTGCACGGGCCAATTTGGGTCCTGTATCTGGTGATGTTAGTAATACGGTCTTGAACAGCGTACCAAGCTCAGGTCCCAGTGTTGGGGCTAGCTCATTAGTCACTGATGCAAATTCGGGACTTTCAGGAGGTCCCCATCTCCAGAGAAGTGCAAGCATTAATACAGAGTCTTACATGAGGTTGCCTGCATCACCCATGTCTTTCTCATCCAATAATATTAGTATATCTGGCTCTTCAATTATGGATGGATCATCTGTGATGCAGCCAAGCTCAAATCAAGATCCGAATGCTCAACAACTACAGCAAAATCACCACCATCAAGGTGCTTCAAGTGCCACATCCTTACCAACACCACGGGTTGGGCAGGTTCAACTTCCTAATGGTTCACGGGTTCCAGGCTCATTAATCCAAGATCCTGGTTACATGTCTCAGTTGCAAAAGAAACCTCGATTGGACATTAAGCAGGAAGATATTCTCCAACAGCAGGTACTTCAGCAATTGCTGCATAGACAGGATTCTATGCATTTGCAGAACCCTAACCCTCAGTTGCAAGCTTTGATCCAGCAACAGAGATTAAGGCAGCAGCAGCAACAACTGCTACAGTCCATGCCACCAATTCAGCGAGCCCAGTTGCTGCAGCAACAGCAGCAGCAGCAACAGCAACTGCAGTTAAGACAACAGCTTCAACAACAGGGTGCAACACCTTCATCTGGGACAAAGCGACCCTATGATGGTGGTGTCTGCTCTCGTAGGCTGATGCAATATCTATACCACCAGCGTCAAAGACCTGCAGTGAGTATATCAGTGGTTTTCTTGCAAAAATATTTCATGATGCTCCTTACTACATGGCTTTGTTGCCCTTCTTGATTCATAGATAATATAACTGCAATGTATGCTTTAAGGAATAAATAATGTATGAGTTTCATAAGAGTCTGGTCTGATTAGATTTTTGGCTTGGATTGTTATTCTATAACGTATTTATTTTGCAGGATAACAGCATTGCTTATTGGAGGAAGTTCGTTTCAGAATATTACTCTCCCCGTGCTAAAAAGAGGTGGTGCTTGTCGCTATATGACAATGTTGGACACCATTCGCTAGGAGTATTTCCCCAGGCAGCCATGGTACTTAATTTACCTGTGTAACTTGCTTTTCTTTAACCATTCTGTGACTTGAGTTGTGTGTGAAAAAGATTATTGCAAATTTGTTTGTTCAAATTCCTTGTCAAAATATGCGGGTTGATCAGTAATGTTATGGTGCGCTTTTATATCTGGATTGCGATATCCTTGTGGATCTCATGGAACATATAATTATGTAAAGTTTAAGTGGATAGTACCCTTTCCCAACTGGAGTATGTAAATCATGATTCTTTAAGGATGTAAATTTTGTTCCTCATAATTGGTATTTGTTATTAAGGTCCTGCCGACTGCTCTCCTCTTCGAGGAAAAAGTTAAAACCAAAAAGGAAAAGCCAGAAAGTTACCTGTGGCATCCCTGATTATTATGCTAATTGTTTCCGTTTCTTCTATTTGTCAGGATGCATGGCAATGTGATATTTGTGGTTCAAAATCTGGAAGAGGTTTTGGTAAGTTTGGCAGGGAATCCCTTAGATATATCATTGACATTCCATCTTTGATATGCCTTTATATTTTCTTATTTTGGTTAAAAACTGCCCGCCTCCTCTCATCTGGCCAGTTAGGGGATAAAAAGGAATTGTCTAGACTACAGTTCTGGGGTATTAATATGTTAATTGATACCAGTACCTCAAGAATGTGAGCCTTGTACCTTTTTCTTTGGTGAATCAATTCTCTCTAATGTCTTCTGGCATGTCATATACTTGCCGTATGTGAGCTAGTAGAGGATAATTTGTATTGAATAGAAACATTCTAGTGGTATTGGGTGTTGAATACTACATCTGGAAACATTTCCCTTCCAACTGAGCCACACCCTTGGTTTTCCTTTCCCCAACTCCTCCTGCTTTGCAAGATAAATAGATAGGAACTGGCTTTAAACCAGTAACTCTACATATTATAGTTCGATCGTTATGTTACACATTTCAAATGACATTGATGTCACTTAATTGTGCATGGATGACGTGGAGTCACCAGTTTCTGTGTACAAAATATTGTGACATGAAGGCAGTTCTTTGGCTTCTAAACAAATAAAAGTTTTACTTGTATGTTTTAACCGGTCTCTATGTTATGTGTGGTGGGTTTCAACAGAGGCAACTTTTGAAGTGCTTCCCAGACTTAACGAGATCAAATTTGGAAGTGGGGTCATCGATGAGCTGTTATTTTTGGATTTGCCGCGCGAATGTAGATTTTCTTCAGGAATAATGATGCTGGAGTATGTGAAGGCAGTTCAAGAAAGTGTATATGAGCAACTACGGGTGGTTCGTGAAGGTCAGCTTCGTATTATTTTCGCCCCTGATTTAAAGGTAATTAAGAAGTAAGTGTGTCTTTTGTCTTTTGATGTTATCTATCTTGTTTTTCTGTCCTGTTAAGATTTTCTTCCTTTTTGTTATCAGATATTGTCATGGGAATTTTGTGCACGACGTCATGAGGAGTTGCTTCCGCGTAGATTGGTTGCACCACAGGTATGTATTTAAAGTATGAACAACTTGTTGATCAGTGACTGCAGGATTAAAGAGGTGACTTTTGTTGCTCAATGTCATCGCATTACGTAGTGTCATCTGATGATGTTGAGATTTCTTTTGCTGTTTCATGTTTGGTTATCAATGTTCTCTTTGTTTATTTTGTGAAGCTGCTCTTATACAGATTTTGCAGTCATAAGTAACACCATTTCTTGGCAAGTCATGATGGATTTTGCTCTGTGAAACATGTCTGGTCTTTTGAAAAAATAAGTTCACACTTTCAATATTGATTTAGGGCCCCTCTTTTAATTTCTAGTGTGGTTGCACTTTACTCTCTCTGACACTGGAGTTAAATGTAGATTGTGCAGCTATTGAACTTTCGTCTTTCCTTGTCAAGTTTTGTTGACTTTTGAGACTATAATCTGAGTCAACTTCAGAGCATGTAGCCTGATTTATATTCATCTCTGCATTCAATACATGAAGCATTTTTCTTTTGCAGGTTAATCAGTTACTACAGGTTGCACAAAAGTGCCAAAGCACAATCTCTGAAAGCGGAGGAGAGGGTGTCTGTCAGCAAGATCTACAGACTAACAGTAACATGTGGGTGAATTATGCTTAAAAATACAACTCTCATTTTGTACCTTGTGAATTGGCTGCTTAGAGAATTGTGGTCCCATGCTTATGGTCAATTTTTTGATGCTTGTCAACTTTGAACTTGTTTGTGAACTTATGAGCACTCTTAATGTTCCTTTAGTACTCAAATTGTGTTGGACTGTCATGTATTGTAGGGTTGTGACAGCTGGCCGTCAGCTTGCCAGAAGTTTTGAGTTGCAATCGCTTAATGATTTAGGATTCTCCAAGAGATATGTGCGATGCTTACAGGCATGTGTCGAGGTTTTATTGACAAGATTGGAAACCTTTATTCTTGCTTTCAGATTTCTTATGCTTATCTGTGTTTAACACGTGACAGATATCAGAGGTTGTCAATAGCATGAAAGACTTGATGGATTTTTGCAGAGAAAACAAAGTTGGGCCTATTGGTAATGATCTTCTTTTACCCTCTTATTCCCTTGCTGGCATTGGAAGTTTTTAATGTGTAAAGCTTCAAAGAGATTCTGTGGCTAAGGAGGGAAAGAATATTATGGATTGATGATTTTAATTTTTTTTGCCACGTGTGTTGTCTATTAACCCAATTTATTCAAGTACCTTAGCTTTTCTGTGATGCTGGATACGTTTTATCTATTTGGCAGTGATGTGCTATCTTTATTTGCAGAGGGCCTGAAAAACTTTCCCCGACAAGGCAATGCAGCCAAGCTTCAGGCACAAAAGGTTCAGGAAATGGATCAGCTGGGAGGTATTCAGAGTCTGCCAACTGATCGAAGTACAATGAATAAGCTAATGGCTCTGCATCCTGGATTAAACAACCAAATGGGCAATACTCAGCACATGGTGGGTAGAGGTGGTTTAAGTGGGTCAGCACAAGCCGCCCTTGCCCTGACAAATTACCAAAACTTGCTCATGAGACAGAACTCAATGAACTCAAGTCGTAGTTCATTGCATCAGGAAGCATCTTCTTCTTTGAGTAATTCTAATCAGAATCCGTCCTCAACATTTCAAGGGCCTTCAGGTGCAGTTCCAGGAACCTTGCAGAATCCACCAATTGGTGGGTTTTCAGGTTCCCATCTGCAACAGCCACCACTGCAGCAGCGTTTAGCCTTGCTGCAGCAAAATAATGCCGTGCAAGGTAGTCAGCCGTTACAACAGCACATGATGCAGCAACTGATGCAGGATAATAGTGGAATTCAGCAGCCTGTTGCGTGTCAGAGTCTTGGTGGGAGTGTGTCAAGAGATGGACTTGCATTTGGGAATAAAAGTTCTACAGGAAGCGTGACGACTGGAAATGGAACGAGTAATGTTATGGGACCTGCTCCAAGCAGAAGCAACAGTTTCAAAGTTGCTTCAAATAGTGAATCCTCTGCAGCTGGTGCAAGTAGTGGGTTCAACCAGAAATCTTCTGAGCTTCCACGTAGTCTTCATTTGTCAGAGGAAATGGTACCTGACATTCCACATGAGTTTGCGGAAAATGGATTTCTCAGCAGTGATCTTGATGATAACATGAATTTTGGTTGGAAGGCCTGACTAACATAATTTGTCTGATAAAATGTGCTTTTGTTTCATGAAAATATGGTTGTACAGGTGGTTTGTAGTCTGTTATTTGGACATTTACATTCTGAATCCAGTTAGGGACTTTGTGATCTTAAACAAGTATTCGAGTAGTTCTGTGGTCTTTTTACATGCCCCAGTTTCTGGTTTTTATGCTCAAATGTCGTCTTGCAAATGTAATCTATGGATAGAGACCAGACGACTTTTCACTGTTGAATTTATATAATATATTATTTACATGTTATATCCCTTTTCCAGGTGCCGTATATGATGCTGATTTTTCCCGCTTTGTTTCTTCTTTCTATTCGTGTTTTCACTGAAGAAAAATGAGTAAAAACAAGCGGAAATGTCTTGGAATGCATTTTATTAGTTCTTTGTCATGATTGGTCTGTCATGGGATAAGTTGTATCCTGTTGAAGAGGATGAATTGCAGTCCGTTCGTTGCACGATGTGGTTAATGCTTTTAGTGTTGAAACTTTGGTGGCAATTGAGGTTGAATAGCTCTTTTTGTCTGAGTTTTGTGCTTCAGAAGTACATTGGCCGTTTACAGCCGATGGAAGTTAATTGAATTGTGGTCCCTTTACTTGGAGACGGCGTATGGAAATTGGAGATGTTGCGTAATCCGGAATTAGATGGTGCTTGGAGGCTGGTTTATAATTGGTTCAATAGATAGATGGGTTATTGATTCTCCATTGGTAGAAGTTGGTGATGTTGGCAATCCTTCCCCTTTATTTTTGGCTGAATTTATACTTGTGGCAGGTTGGGATAGCCCACGGCTGTCTCAATTTATTCCTCAATATTGGTCACTTTGATTGCCCAATTGCCTTGTGATTCTGATAAGACAAGGTCTGATGTTGTGGAGACTGTCGATAACAATAAAATTTTCTATTCCTTCAGCCTAGAAATTAGAGAGGCGAGGGAGGAATGTATCCAAGGTATGTAGGCTGGTTTGGGATCATAATCTTCCCTTCAGAATACCTTTTCTGAAGAATCTAAACTGGTGGCTGTTACATGGATTTGTTCCCCACTGATGACGTTCTTCTATGGTCTCTCGTTGTGCTTTGTTGTTCTTCCATGGACTTTTTTTTTTCCCCAAGACGATAACATATTCCATTTCCAGAAAACTAATTACACTGTTGGAGGAGCAACTGCTCTTACATCTTTTTTGGCTAAACTAGTAAGCCATATTGGAAAAGATTCCTTCCAACAAATTTCATCATACAGGCTTATGGCAAATTTTGCCAGCTTGTGAGACAGCATCAAACTCTTGGCTTAACATCAGTATATCAGCTCAGCTAATATAGTCCCCGTAATTGGGTCTTCATTATTCCTATCCTTGAGCTTATCAACCATCTGTTTACAATCAGATTGGATTTCCACTTTGTTCCAGCCCCTCTGCTTTGCCTTGATGACAGCTTTTCTGATAGCTAAGGCTTCCTCCACTGTTGGGTTTCCGTCTCTCCTTTCACCTCCTGCCCAAGCTCCAACCATCTCCCCATCCTCCCTTCTGGCCACCACCTCCGAGCCTATTCTCCTCTCCTTTTGCTCCAAAGCTGCATCAGAGTTTAACTTGATAACCCCCTGTGGGGGTGGATACCATCTACTCGATTCTGCCGCTTGTTTTTCCCCATTTACCTCTGTTTTGTCCTCTCCAACTCTCACTTCGTTATATTCAGCCCACTCACGTACAGCTTTATTTGCAGTAAATTATCACAGTTGCTAGGCTTTGAGAATATCTGTGTCTCTTCATTTTTTCGAATTCAGCGTCTACCAAAAAGAACAGTTCAAGTGGTTCGTTGGATGTCTTGTATGCAAGGCAGATTTGAGTTAAAACACTAACGCAAGTATCAAAGTCTCAGGAGAAGGGTTACTTTGGGATCATTCTCGGAAATTGATATTTGCTTTTTACAAGGAGTTTGGAGATAACCGTGCCCTGATTGCGGAGTTCAAGAGCTTTATGGCTCGGTCTATATCTAATGTGCTGACATGAGCTATTTATTGGTTGATACTGTCTCTAAGGTTCTGGTTTCTGTTGTTAACTCGTTTCGACAGTCGACATTCTAGTTGGCCTTTTTGCAACCTCCCAAAGAACTAGGAAAGGCAAAAATCAAGTGAAAAAAAGACAAAAGAGGAGGCAAATTTTGCAGCTTTCTTATTTGTTTTTAACCAGATGGATAGTTCATAATGTGGATCCGATAACAAGCTTCTCGTCTTCTTCATGGCAGAATGAAGCTCAAATCTTCAAAGTAAATTGTCTCTGGACTCTCCCTTGTGCCTCGGAGCTTACGGGAGAGGACTGTTACACATTCTATCTTGTGCTTCAGAGCTTACAGAAGGGCAGCAGGAACAGAGCAAAAGAAAACCAGAAAGCGTAGCAAGAAGCAGAAGCACTTAGTTATACTGGTCATCTGAATCGTCGTCCTCGCCGTCGTAGTCGTAGTCATTTACCATAATCCCTCTAGCACCAAGTAATGTGTTGAGGATCATGTGCTCCCAACCTCTTATACTTGCACTAAACCTGTGAATGCGAGGAGGACAGCTCGACTCACTCTGAGGAGATCTGTTGTTTGAACAAAGATGCTGTTCAGGATTGTGCCTCAACATGCATTTTCCAGATTGATCCAATATCTCAACATCAAATGCCGGTGTGGCTGGTCGCCCAACAACTTCAACATGAGAAACACTGACACGACCAAACAAATGAGATACTATATTAAAAGGAAAGCCACCATCCTGCTTTGCAGGGGTAGGGAGACCAAATTTTGCCTTTTCATTTTCTATGTTATCCTCCTACTTTTAAGGATTTGCCCCCTCATTCTTTCATCCAGAAAATAAATGAAAACCACGCAGAAATTACAACTGAGGCACTACTGCTATTACAAAAGGAAAACTGGATTGCATCTAAATTAATTATTAAAATAATAAAATTTACTTTTTATTATATGATTACCTTACTCACAAAGGCCAATGATATTGACACTCCAAAAAAAGCTCAAGGCACTCCATCCTTCCTTTTTGGTTAATGAAATGATGAAAAAAATTTAAATATTCTTTGAGACAAAATTGGCGCTCTATGGATGTACGAATTATTCTTTCTATTTTCTCTCTTCAATTTGTTAAATTTTCTCAATTCTTACATTAGCCCTAAATTGTTGTACTATTAATAATGGAGGAAATTCTTAATACTGATGATTCTATAAATACTGTGTAAGTATGAATTATTTACTAGTTCTTGAGTAAAGTATTAGCCATTGTGGTCTATTGCTTTTGGATTTGTTCATCATTCTTTAGGTGAGCTTTACAAGTTTAACTAATGTTATAGTTTTTTTTTTCTTTAAAAATAAGCATGAAGACTATGTAGTCAAAAGTATAGCTGACTTACTATGCCTTGTGGCTAATTTTGGCATTTAGATTGCTAGAGAATCTAGATTATAGGTGTTTATGTCACTTTCAGCAACAATCAGCAAGGATGGAGCGCCTAGGGTATTTTTTGGAGTGCTAACATCATTTGCCTTTCACAAAACATGTTTTCATTACTTCGTGCAGGCAAACGAGTAATGAGATGAATGCTAGCAACAACATAACAATTTTCATAACATGCAACATCAAGTACTTCATGCCAATGTTTGAAGTAGGTACGTAAAACAAAACACCAGCGAGAAAAATCATAATAAAGTAGGACTCACCATATGTAATACAAACTATCTATTTCTTGTTTCTTCACCCTACCCAATAGCTGGACTTGCAGAATCCCTCCGATGCAGAGAACAGGTTCTGGCAGCATGAACTTTTGCAAACAATTCTCCTATAACGCAGTTAATTAGTAATACTGAATCTGGACCATGATAAAAGATTGAAATTCTAATTAATGATTGCAGCTTATAGTTGAACAAGCCTTTGGCAGACAACCCAAATTGGTTAGGTGATATGATATCTCATTCCCTTGTACAGCCCCTTTTGGACAAAAGGATAACAAAAGTTGTTCCTTGAGCAGTACGAAAGAATGAAAAGAAGCACGTAAAACTCACATGAGCCATCGGAAATTCTGGTGAAACGTACGTCCACACAAATTTTTCATGAGAAGATTCTTGAGCAGCTGAAGACACGTCTCCCTCCTTTTGTGCTTCCATACCAGCAATAGAATGCCCCATCAAAAATCTTACAGCCTTCGCTGAATATATGGGGGAACCAAACTGAAAGTACGCTGATAATGCAAATCAAGTTTTTCTACCGGTAAAGAGACAGGTTTTAAACAAGAAGTCACCATCACCCCCCTCCCCCCCAAACAAAAATGAAATGTCTTCTAAAATAACCTTGAAATGGTTGAATATGGATTTCAGTAATCACACAGAGTTTGGCCCTCAATTTATACGTTAATGTTTCAGCGATTGCAGAATCAATTTCACCCTTGCTCGACCAGTAAGAAGCTCTCTGACCAATCCTGTCACTTGGTTCCAGGGTATTCTGAATGCTTTCATCTGCGTAATTATCAGTGCTTGAAGCACCAAGTGCCTCAGACAAGCAATCTTTTCTTGGGAAGGAGGCAAGACCTTGAGCCAAAAATGCATATACTTTATGGTCCCGTTTCAGACATGCCCATTCAATAGGCTCATTGGTCCTGGATTCCACAGGTTCGATCATGTTGCTAATTTCAATAGCACGACTAAGAGTGGACATCTCAGGGAACATCTTTAAACAGAGTTTCTTGCATATTCCATTCACAATCACTGCATAAGGTTAAAAGCCCTTAAAAGAAACAGAAATAAAAGTACGGACAGCTGTGAAGCACCTCAATTTCTTTAGTTTGATCGAAAACAGAAAAGGTTGACAGACAAGTCCTCAAATTCTTTTATTTTTTCCCCCACCATAAGGCACAGATTGCCGCCCTGCACATAAACTTCTTTACTTTGATCACACAGAGAGAAGAGTTAACAGACAAGTGCTCAAACTCTTTCTTTTCCCTGATTAAGGCACACATTACTCAGTAACTTGTACAAAAGTGAAGCATATCAAAAGTATTGAGCAACACGGGAACCATATTTAATTGTACTTGCAAAATGCTAATATCCAATTATCTTTTTGGCACAGTTCTTTGTTTCTCACCATTTACATACATGGTTATCATTGTCTGCTGCTTCTCAAAGACAATGATAGATGTAAACTAGTGTTTACCTTCAGCAATATTCAGAAAATAAGCAATGTCAACGTCTAGTTAAAATCCTATAACTAGCATTTCAGCAAGTACCGCATTGACTAGACATTCAGTACCAATATTCCGAGAGACACTTGTAAAGAAGGCACCACTGACTGGAAATACAATGACGAACAGTAGCTTAAACGTATATTATAAGGACTCCTCGTCTAGAAAACTTCAATTAAGAGTGCTGTTCTGTTTCATTCGTGCATAATCCAGCAGAGCCCAAACTGGGATATGCGCAGTCAATAAAATAACATAGCAACCATCAATTAGTTCTTCCACAATTAAGCAGATGACAAATAACCACCCCGAGAACAACCCAAATCACAGAGAAACAGAATGAAAGAAACGAGGAATTAAAACCAGTAGATTGATAAAACATGGACACAGAAGCAATGCCTAAGCTGAGTGGGAAAGCTCACTGAATTGGCGCCAAGAACTGGAGACAGCACTAACACGAACAAGATCAGAAGGGTCCTCCAAAAACATGAGGATTTTTACGGACAAATCAGCACCAAGCCACTCTATAAAGTCATTACTTACTTCCATCTTCCTTGGCTGCTACAACTAAAACCCAGTTTCCAGATTTTACAGTTAGCAACAATTACAGCCTCCTATCCCTTTAAAAAAATATTAATCATAAAAAACAATGCAAGAATCAAGACAGAAGAAAGCAGAACATACTAGATATCAAATGATACGATACAACAACAATCCAATAAAAGCAAGTAGAAAAAAGCTTCTTTCTTTCCATTTTCCTCTCTTTTTGGGTACAAAACCCATCTTTTCCTACTGACTAAGCAGACTTGCGATGCAAAAGTTAAAAGTTCAGTACTTCTTCAAACCATCAGCCCCAGCTGTCGCCGAGTAAGATGAACACTTTTAGCCAACAGAAAGACGTTGGAAATTATTTTTAAGAGCAAGTAAAAGAAATACAGAAATACAGAACCTACCAAAGGGATCATCAAAACAAAATCTGTATCGGCAGCGAGAGTGGTTCATGGACTGGTTGGTGGAAACCCAAGAAGAAGCAGAAAGAGGACGTGAGGCCCAGCAATTATATATAGGGATAATTTCAGAAATCTCCCTGAGATTTTTAACTATTTCACTTAGCTCCATCAAAGGTTTTAAAATTATACTTACTTCCCCTAATTTAACACTTTTAGTAACCAAACAATAAATGTAGGGCAAAGAATTAATGAATAATCTAAAATGCTCTTATCTTATAAAGTTTAATTTATTCCTCTAAATAATAATTGTAAAGTAATTTGGAGCAGTTAGTTATAAAGGAATGAGTATCAAATTTTTCATGCCAATATTTTTGTAGTTTGATAATCAATTATAACAATAAATCTATCACTATAACAGTCTACTTTCCATAGTGTTTAATTGGAGATATAGATTTTTCTTAAAATGAAGAACAAAATGTTATCTTGATTTTTTAAGAGCAAATTGCACGAAATGTCACTAAACTAATGTGCTCCTTTTGGTTACTAAACTTTTTTATTAGTCAAAAATGTCATCGAACTCATAAATTTGTACTATTTAGATAATTCCATCTATTTTATGACTTATGAGAGACGGAAAGTAACTTTTTATGGGCAATTTCATCTGCACAACTTTCTGAGGCAATGAAGGGACAAGAGTGAGGTGAGTATGATTTAAAATTTTGGCAAAATTTTCGAAAAACAAACAATCGATGAGAAAAGTTGCCGCATTAATCCAACAAAATCAAAGTAATCAGTTAGGAGAATCAAAGCACCGACCGAAAACGAAGATTAACATTAGAGAACAGATGATTGATGGCAGCAAGATGGGTGAAAAGGCAAAAGGATGAATCTCGGCGATTGTAAGAGGGCAGCTACTATTAGAAGATAATCGCTACAGAGAATTGCTGACAAGTCATTGGAAGGATTGCCATTGGAGCATTTTGATTATGAGTCAATTTTGGGATAGTGCGACGAGATGCCGATGGAATACGTACAATTGCCGGTAGGGATTGCTAGGCCTCTGCTGCTTGACAGTAAAGAGTATATGATGCCAATGGCAACGACTAATGGATATTTGATGGCTAGCACCAACAGGGGTTGCAAAACTATTATGGCCTCTGGTGGCGCAACTAGCATGTTGTTGAGAGATCGGATAACCAGAGCTCCTGTGGTGAGGTTCGCCACCACCAAAAAGGCTGCAGAGTTGAAGTTTTTCGTGGAGAAACCTATGGCTCCGTTTGGATTAGCTGTTTTTGGGGGTATTTTTAAAAAACTTTGCTGTAGCAGAGTTTTTAGGGTATATTTTGAAATATTTTTAAAAAATATTTTGGAATATTTTTTATTGGCACTTTATTTTGAGATATTTGGTAAAATTTTAAAAAATTTTAAATTAATTTTTAGATTATTTTTTAGAGTATTTTGTTGTAATTTTTATTATTTTTGAAAAACTTATTTTTGAAAAAATAGTCAATCCAAACGGAGATGAATTTTAAGACTCACTGTTGTTTTCAATAAGTGAGTACTAGAAATTTCTACATTTAAAAAAAAAGAAAAAGAAATGCTTACTTTTATTTTGGATGATGAAATGGGATTTGTTTTTTTATTTTTGACTGTTTTTTTTTTGGTATTTTTTGTCTTTCTTGTGTTTGTCTTAGATGAATTGGTGGGGGAAAAAAACAGTCAGAGGGAAAGTCACTAGACAATGAATGGACATTTTTTTTTCTTTTGAACTTTTGAAAGTATTAAACTTTTGAGATTATTGCCTTTGTTAGTAGTTTTTTTGTTGCTGGGGTGTGCTAGGTGAAGTCTAACATACGTTCCAAGTGAAGAATTATGACTAATGATCATCATTTCCCATGCACTACTTCATAATTTTATTTTTTTTTACTCTTTTTGACATTTGTGAACTTTGACGTTGATGTTTTCTCCTACACATGCATATTTTTATCAAATTTATGCAAATGGAAACCCTTTTTTTTTTTTTTTTGTGGAATCACATATCTTTTCCTTTCACTTCTTAGAAATTTTCAATCTTTGCTAGGCACAATTAGTTCATTTACAATTTTGTCTCACTATTTCTATCATTTCATGCATGGCTTCAAAATTCATTTGTCTTTTTGCTTGTCAGTGTCCATAGTCTTGGGCAATGACATTAGCTATAATGATTTTCTAAAGGACAACTATTAAAAAAAATGATTTGCTATATTATTAAATTCTTGAGGTATCCTCTTTTGCTCTTTTAATTTTTTCTTATGATTATTTGGCTTTACCTAGAATTTGAACGATTAATTAGAATAGTTTCTTGAACTTGGGAGTTGTCTGGCACATTTAAAGGTAATTTATGTCGAAGAGCTTAAAAAAAAAACCGTTGTGCAGACGAAATTGCTCATGAAAAAGTTACTTTTCATCTCTTATGATGGCAAAAATACATGGAGCAACGCGGTGCAAATTTACTAGTTCAGTGACATTTTTGGCTAATAAAAAAATTTAGTAACCAAAAGTGGCACATTGTAATAGTTTAGTGATATTTCGCACAATTTACTCTTTTTAAAGTATGTGGACTAGTTAAGTAGTGGAACTACCATTTTTTTAGTAGTGATTTTGACCCATTTATTTTTAAAAAAGGAGTTACAAAAGAAGTTTGATGGTATTAAAAGTTATACAAAAAAAAGTTACTGGTTTGACGTTTGATAAAAATAGAGGTTAGAGACAACATTGAAAGTTTTTCGATTTTTATGACCAAATATAAGCGAAATGAATAAGAATGGAAAAAGAAAAAAAATTAAAAAAAACCCATCCTTTATATAAGCATAAAAAACAAGAGGGTTTCATTTTAAATGAATGAGAGAGATAACTATACTTTTAAAACCTTAGAGGAGTTAAGTGAAATTATTAAAAACTTCAGGGGGCTTCTGAAATTATCCCCTATATTTAAGCAACACATTTTGCTACTAGGGGGTAGTAAAATGAAAGACAAAAACTCCGATTAGATTAACTGTCTTTTGAGAGTGTTTTTAAAAGTTTTACTATAGCAGTGTATATAAAAAAAATTTTACTATAAAAATTGTTTAAATATTTGATATATTATACGGATGAGATGTTTTTTGAGTTATTGTGTATTACTGTAATATTATATTTAAAAAATTTATTTTTGAAAAAATAGCCAATCCAAAGAGCCAAAGAGAGACGAGAAAGAAAAACATAAAATGGAAGGGGGGAAAAGCTGCTCGTAGTGTGTGTCAGAACTCTGATGTAAAAGACAGAGTAGGAGAAATTTACTGCAATTCCGTCATCTTCATCGTACTCATCGTAAAAGCTTTAAAGCGTCCCCAAACTGAACGCTTGTGCAGTAAATTCCGCTAACACGCGTGACTCAGAGAATATCGATGTAGCTGCTGTGAGGAGCCATTGGCCACTCTTTTGCAGCGCTGCCTTACGCTAAGCTGGATCATGACGTTGCAGAACAAATACTACCACTATATAGCAGTACTAACTACTGCTGCTACTCCCCTCGTCCCATTTTTTATTTTTTTTTGTTAGCATTGATAACGGTTTATATAAAATTATTCTAATTTAATTTAAGAGAAGGGGAGGACGAAACCACAGACGGTGATGGGTGGAAAACAAGAATTGAATCTTTGACTTCTCACCTTCACCGAGACTTAAAAATGTCTTGGTGACCAACAGAATGGTAAATTTTTAATATCTTTAATCAGTAAGCATAATCTACTTTATTCAATAATTACTTTAATTTAAAAATGTGAAACTTTTCATTAATATTATTATTATAATTAATATAAAGATATAATGATTAGTCATGCTTCTTTCTAATATTAACATAATGATATTTTATGAAAAAACAGTAAGTTCTATTTACTCTTCTAGCAAAACTTCTTAAATTGTGTGATAAAAAATTAAAACTATGAAAGTGAAACGGAAGGAATACTTATTATTAGGCTAGAGTTTGATAGAGTAGTACCGTACCATCTTTATGTTTTTCTTTTTAGTATCTCATGCGAGTGATGTTGGTATTCGACGTATATGCGCCAAAAGAAGAAAAAAAAAAACAATAAAAACCTTGTGCACTTGAGAATTTCGCTTAACTTGTAGCCTTGTGCTGTACAAACTACAAACGTGAAATACTCCTAGCTTGTGGAAGCTTGTTTCGTCCAGAATGCGTCTTTCTCCAGAAGCAAACTTCGCTTGCTTGCTTGCATTAATCACGGTCCGCCCCGCATTCATATTACTGTAAATACCACCAAATGCAAACTTTGCTTGCTTTCGAAAAACCTGCAGTGGTCAACCAGGGAAGAAAAGAAAAGATCGATCATGCACAAAGATGGTCAGTTCCTATCCTCGTATATTACAAATCTCTTATTTCCGGGTTAATATGATTAGTTCTGAGCTTGACGCTTCAAATCCTTTCTCCAAGCTTTCTGGGATATACGAACACAGAATCCAAGCAAAGACCGCCTTTAGTATGTGTGCAATCAATCTGAGTCATGGAGAAGTTTAACTTCGTTGGAGTGCAGGCGTCAGTGTGGTCAACGACAAAATCTCCCACATGATAGTGTGTCCATTCCCCAGGGGCAGCTGGTTCTTTCAGATAGTGATGTGCTGTTGCTTGCTGGCCGTTTGAGGTTGATAATTGGAACCGGACAGGCTTTACATTCCATCCATGAACTCCATCAAGATTACACGCTCGCCTGCCTAGTCTCTTTGAGGTTCTTCCCAGCTGCATCCTGAAGAATAGGCCGTAAGTTCCTGCTGGAAACTCCAACTCTAACTTCCCTTCCACTTCTACCCACCATATCTGTTGCAGATATGCAACCGTCTTGAATCTGTTCGCCAAACAAATCAATATAACAACGAGCAAATGCTTAATGCAGATTGCCAGAT